CATCGATATATGCTTTTAGTTTCGTTTTCAATATTCCCCTGTTGATCAAGACACTGCTTGGGAACACCACTACTTTCCTGCTTCATTTTAATAAACGTGTCAACATAAGTGTCAAATATTTTCTCCTTGTGCGGGTAATGATAAATTTCATACACTATCATAGTATAACCATGTTCCAAGGCTTTTTGTATTTCAATACTGGCCCATGTACCATACAATGCCCTTTCTTCGTCAGTGTGCCGACACAGTGTACATAATTCCTGAACGCATGTACGACATAATGGAAATGTTAATTTATCTGTGCGATATGGTAGAACCGGAAATAATAATTGTTTTGGCGGAAGTATTTTACATTTGATAATTCCAAACACATTTTTTATTTCTACATCGCGACAATTAGTTATACCGCGAATAATGTCAGGATGTTTGATCGGATAAACATTTTTTTTTCTGAACATAGGAGTAAAGGGAAGTAAAATCCACATAACGCATTTTTTGACAACCGATTCGTAAAACAATATAGCGGGGGATGTTTTCCCGCCAAAAAGCGCATCACGAGGATTTAAATTGACATTAATAAAAAAATCGCGTTGACGTAACACTTTAAGCAGTGTTTGTGTTATTTTATTTTCCTGTATAAAATCACATTCCCATTTTTCTATAACCGTATAACCCTGACTTTCAAATAAACAAGTTGTTCTTCTTGTCCGCTCTCTTAACGTGTAAAAGGATTCGTTAACCACCATGTTAATAGCATCACCGTCATAACATTCTTTACACCCATGAACAAAACACTCGTGAAATTGATATATTGTTTGTGTTTCGGTACAATAACCATCAACTGATTTGTTTAAAATATGTTGCTCACCGTCAGGAGAAAGTTTGCTACTGAGCGCCATGCCATTTTCATTTAAATTATTATTATTATTATTATTATTATTGGTCTTTATTAATCATTTGATAAAAATACATATCAAATTTACATATTTAAAAAATTGTAACACCGAAGCTACTTAAGGAGGCTCCCTACAGTTGCGTGCGGGATGTTCGCGGGACCAGTACGTGAACTATCCCACGCAACCGCATGATCGAAACAAAACAAAAATTGACCACGCTTTTTTTTAAAATAAAGCTATTTCTGAAAGGTTTCTAATGGAAAAAAGCGTTGAATAATACTTCGTTTTGAGTGTCAAATCACTTGCGAGTCTATACAGCAATTCTACATATGATACGAATGTCACTAGACCAAAAATAGCTACGAAACAATGTTTTTAAATTTTTTAAAATATACACTGTCAACTGTAAAACATTTGCAAAATTGCATACAAACGTTCAAAAAGTTGTTTACTTCTCAAGAAAACGTTCACGTTTTTAGTCGTGTTTCTACAAGATTGAAGTGATTATATGTAAACAGAAAAATATTTCAGTTTCATAACCTAATTGTTCATTTTTAGCAAAAAGTACAAAACCAAACATGAAACAAAAAAACACGTCCACCTGTTAATAGGCTGTTACAGCTCATAGATTGAGTTAACGGCAGTATTCAATTAGCTTCAACCTTGTTTTCACCGATTTGATCCTTCACAATAATCCTTGGCTGTCCATGGCACTCAAATAAATCGAAAAGTTGACAAAAACAAAACAGTAAAAATAACATTGCCGCTCGATTTTGCTGAATGAAAACTCGTTCTGCGCCCGTGTACAATCTTTTACTAGTCAGCGACGCTTTTCAATAGGGGAATTTCTCGAGTTACACGAGGCTATTTTCTAACTTTATTTGCATTTTACTCATTAGTTTCATCGGTGACCTATCTTCAAATTTTGACCACGAATTTATTTTGCGGTAAATTATATAAATTTCAATTTTTAAAAAAATCTGTAGTGTGGAAATTTCGCATTAAAATTTTCGCTTTTAAAAAAATCACACACTACAAAATTTTTTTAAACTTTCACCACAGTTGCAGAGCATCATTCCCTATTGATATATGAAATAAAAAAGATAGGTCACCGACATCGTTTTTGAGATAGTAGCACATTTATGGGTTAAATTGGAAGGCTTTATGCTGTCGTCATGTTGCCATGGGAACATTGACGTTGTCGAAATCTAGTTCGAAATATTCCTTAGGTGACCAATATTGCCACCAAGTCGAAAAGAATTCGCGTTCTGCACGAATAAGCCTGTTTTCCGGAATTATTGCTTAAACAAGAATAACTGTAGGGAGCCACCTTAATACATCAATATTACTAAAACTATTTTATTCATTATCAACATGCAAATTATACTTAAAAATCAGTCTATTAAAAAAGCTATTCTTGAAGCGTTCTGTGTTACATTTTGGCCACAGTGAGCTTTTGTTACGCAGACGCCTGGATGAGTCTTTGACTATAGGTAGCATATGTTTAAGCGGATGATTATCGTTATTTTTTATCTTTCTCCAAATGTTACGATCACTTCTCTCTAATAGTTTGTATATATCGTAATGTTTGCTAGAATAATTTCGTTTAAAACATCTAGTTAAGAAGCACTGCACTGTATATAAATCTGGGGTAGACGAACCATAGACAGATAGACCATACAATATCTTTGAGATTACAAGAGAGTTGAAAAGCAAATTCAACTCCCGTTGACAAAGTCCTTCCTTTCGTAACGATCGTATCACGTATAAACTTTTATTTGCACTATATAACATATTCTTTACATGTTCTGTAAATTTGCAATTGGACTGGAATGTTACTCCCAGTAGTTTCAATTTGGGACATTGTTCCATGTTCATAATGCTAGGTGGTATATATTGCTCTGCTCTGCCCGATTTGTTTACAACTAATTCCTTGCACTTGGATGTATTACATGACATGTAATTTTCTTCTGTCCAGTTCATAAACTGATTTAAGTAAGTTAATGAGTCATCCTGGGAGTTTTTTAGTACGACTACTTGTAACGTGGCATCATCTGCATATTTATCTAATGCAGTTTTGTTTTCTTCTTCTATGATAAGGTCGTTTACAAATAAATTGAAGAGATGCGGACCGCTAACGCTACCTTGTGTTGTTCCTTTATTAACCATTTTCCATTCACATACGATGCCATTGTGCATGATCCTTTGCTTTCTATCTTTTAAAAAGTCAAAATACCAATTTACTAGGTATGGATTCAAACCAGTGGCCTTAAGCTTTTCGCCTAGTATGTTATGTCTGACACTGTCAAAAGCTTTACTGAAGTCCATCGCAAACAATCGTACTGTTTTATTCCAACTGTTATCCAATGCTTTCAGATTAAAATGTCGCACTTTGAGCAGAGCGTCGACACAGCTGCCTCCTTTTCGATAAGCGAACTGGTTGTTATTCAGTTCACGCTCAAATGTATCTTTCGAAAAATGTTCGTACACTATCCTTTCAAACGCCCTGGCTATTATGGGTGTGATATTTATCCCTCTGAAATCTTTCTTTATCTTAGGAATGTCGACCTTTGGAATTGGATTTATATTAGCTATTTTCCATAATCTAGGCCACATGGATGTGGCCATATTTCAACATCCCGTAGCCAATACAATGAATTATACTTTGGTTAACATTCCCGCCATACCCCTCGGCGGGGATTTGCCCAATTGTGTCATTGTTCAAAAAATTGCTACGGTAAATTTTTAATGCTAAACCTGCATTGAAATTCTGCAGTGTGACATGTTTTATCGTAAAATGGAAACACCCCAGTGATATTTTTTATTAATCTAGCAAAAATTATACAACCCTGACGTAGTATGTCGACATCTAATGGGCAGTAATAGTATATAGCCTCTTTAAATACATATGTTTTCCGTTTTTGTGCATCATACCACAGGTCAAATTTTTCACATTTTGAACCCTCAGGGGGTGGATCAAAATATTCTAAACCAATCATCGGTCCAACATATGTAAGATCTGTAAAATGATAGGGGTGAAAACCCTTGGCAAGATCTTTAATACCCAAAACGGCAGTAAATTTACTAAGTGCCATACTTAGAAATAAAAAACTATCAATCACTTTAAGATTTCAATCTTCCAATTCCATACACATGATCTTATTCCCATTCATTATAACTTTAGGGACTATTTTCCGTTCAACTAATAGTTCTTGCAGTAGAAAAACAGTGTCAAAACGCCCGCCATTGTGCACGATCCATACGCTATTTTTGGGTTGATTACACATAAAATTCATAAGATCGGCTACAATGTCTTCGTTGTTTTTTTTTCAAAAACATACTGTCTATACCCACAACATGAAACAGGTTCAACAGATATATCGCAATAGTGTTCTGCAGGGTCTGGTAAAAAATGCTCATACGTTTTCACAAAGGGTTTTCCATCACATTGCTGACACGTTTTTTGAACTACACAGTAAAAATGTACCATATAATTGTTTTCATCTTTGTGTGTTTCAAAATTAAAAAAATTCATGACTTTTTTCCTTAATCGCATTACAATGAGCACAAAATGCTGTGTTGCATTTATGTTTTGTTCTTTTTTTCGATGTTATATTTGTCATTCATGGCACTTTTTTATAACAGGTGTTGCAGAAAAACATATGATTACATGGTGTATTGTATTTGTTTTCAGAAATTTTAAAAACTTTTTTTGTTAAATGCAGTGTATAACATTCTTTATTTTTTAAAAAAACTGAGCACATCGGACATTGTTGAAAAAATCCATCCTCGTCCTTACAACCATTATACGACGAATAACAATTCTGACAACTGTACACTGTTTGACAAACATGGCTACCCTTATTTTCCCACCTACGAAAATAGCGCATACAACAAAAACAATATATATTTGCAGCACATTTTTAAAATTTATAAGGTGACAGTATAACATCATAATGCCCGTTGTTCAACCATAAAAAAATTACATTATTTGTAACACGATGTATCATACCAATTTCATCTAACCGCGAATCATAAACAATTGTATAGTTTTGTTGCTTGGAAAAAACGACTAAATCAATATTGTTACCGCTCAGTAAATTTTCATAAACAATATGCAATTGATCACCACGTATGCCCCCTGCAACCAAACCACATTTCGTGTATATGTCTGTAATTTGTTCACCCGTATATAGTTGGTCAAGTTGTGTGTCACGTTTATTGTTTAATCTTTGGTAATTCTCGTCCTTCTCAAGAAACGAACGTCCAACAAGTATTGCTAATGCAAAGCAACAATTTGTAGTACCGGTAATTTGAAAAACGTCATATCGAACATCACGACCATGCTTTTCGGCAGGTTTTTTTACACCTCTTCTTTTTTTTACACCAATTTCAGAACCATTTTTACCTAAGTTTTTATAAATTGTGGCACATAATTATTTGGAAAAATGTACAAACTAATCGTGCTACTCCAACCATTATCGATCACCTCTTTGGCATTGCTTTGCATGTGATGCTCAAAAATGTTGAAAAACATTTCCATATTAAAATCCGAAACATTTAAAACAGCTGTGGAAAACGCTGTGCGGGGGGCTCTTGAGATGTAAAAACGTGCTTTATCTGTAAGTGAACTAGCTATAAATTCCATAACATTAATTAAATAACTAAACACTTGACATAAATTATTTTAAAAATCGGGCAATGTACTCACATTATTTGCCCCTATTGATACATCATATATATATTCATTATAACCCAAGCATCTGTGAATGTGCGTTCTTTGTGGTAGGTTTTGATTTGGTTTTTTTTTACTAAATTTACTATTTCTCTAATATCGCGGTCTTCAATATTATAACTCATTCTTCCTGTAGAACGCCTTGAATTATTTCTTTGATTTATGTTCTCATTTGCCATTTGAGCTATTTCAGCTATACGTCTAGGTGTAACATACTTCGTTTCCCAGTTAAATTATTCTGTCTTACCATGTTTATGATATCTTGTATATCTTTATCGTTTAATTTGGCACGTTTTCGATCGTCGTTGCCATTTTCTGCGTCTGACCGTTTTCTCTTCGACGTCAACGCCATTGAAAGCAACAGAATTGTTTCAATTCATATTCTTCTTCTTCATTCCTTTCTCCCTCTACGCCGTCTGTCCCATCCACAACAATGTCTGAACTCCTATTTATAAATACACATTTTAATGTAACCCACAGCGTATCACCACCACCAAAACATGAGGGTTTTTGTCCCATTTTAAAACAAGTCTTGTGCTGAGCAGGATCGTAGTAAAAATGAGTGGGTCAATAGTTATACATGTGACAATATACACAAAAAATGCTAATTCCACGGGTGAACATGATCAATATATTGAAAGTTACAATGTGGATGACAATGATGCGTGTATATTATTCTCACCTGAAATCTTAAAGGAGTGCGTTATAGATTACGCTTTAGATCGTGGAAATATAATAAATCTTCCCGCCAGTTTACTACGCAACAGACTTGCAGAGTTTGTTGAGACGCACGCAGTACCAACAGATGTGCTGGCTAAAATAAAAGGGATAATTAAATATGTAGAGCGTCACAACGACATATACAAGCATACCTAATTTTAAGAATTTTTTATCACTGCACATTGGGTGGCAAAGCATAGGTGTTCTTTGAAAATTTTTGGGATCGAGTGCCGAAGGCCCAGCGCAGCTCTAGGGGTCTGGGGGATGCTCCCCCAGAAAAATTTTGAAAGTTAGGTCTTTGAGATGGCTTTCCAGCGATCTGAGAACGCATTTTCTGAAACATTTTAGGTTTTCAAAAGAAGATCTTCATGTTGCATTTTGTGATAAATTGCTTGCTAAGCATACAAACTAACAATCATTATACGGAAAAAACAAGAGTTTCACTCACTGTGAAAGTGCACAACTATTAAAGTGCAAAAATTAGGGCTTTCAAACCTTGTTTCTTCTCTATTAACTGTTATATTATTCACTCCATTTTCCAAATTTGTAGACAAATCTTTGTTGATGTCTATAGGCATGTACAATATACAATGAAACACTTACTTAAAATTTTCTCTTTACTTCCTTCGCCTCTTCAGCTTCTTCATTTTCGAAACTGTTGTCTTGCAGGAAAACTTTGCTGAACCACTCTTGCTCTCCTGCTTTTGGAGTGTTCCTTGTCCTACGTTCCTTTTCATCCATCCATTGCAAAGTTGCAGGTCGTGGATCAAAATTCGATAAAGGTGGCATATTTATATGTATGTAGAGGTAGTCACTCATAGTTTGACGTTTCAAGGATGATCTGCAAGTTGATTTAACCTTGTTGTACAGCGAAATGACTCTTTCACAATCAGCAGAATGTGGCTTGCATGCCAGAATGCGACCAAGCACGATAGACACGTTTGCATAATATTGTCCCCCAACTTCCTCATTTCCTTCAACAATGCTCTGCAGGACTGTGTTGGGGTTGCCTTTTGGTAACTCATTACACTGTTGCAACTCTTGATACTGAATAGCCAAATTTGCCAAGCTAAGGTCAGGAGCAATAGACTGATGAACATCTCTTATTTCATCCTCATTTGCTGTGAATTTGATAAAAGGGGTGAAAGATTTTGAAGTGTTTTTGTCAACTTGAAGCCTCATGTCCATAAACTCTTTTAGTGCCAAAATGGATTCATTTCGTACAGCAGTAAACTCTCTGCGGTCAGTAACATACAAGTTGGCTTCTGGACGGCGTCTTTTCTTCTCCCAAAGCTCAATTCCACAAAATGTATTTCCTTCTTCATCAAACTTTTCTTTGAATGCTTCTTCCCAACCGCCTAACAAAGATCTTGTGCCCAACTTATCAAGACTCTTCTGAAACTTTTCTGCTTCTGGTTCTATATCGACAATGGTGAGAGAATCACGTTGGAGCTTCTTTTGAAAAACTTTAAGAAGGAACAATAGATCAGCAACAAAGCACATCATAAGGATATTATCCTTATTTGTTAGGAGTTTCAAGAATTTATTCCCTTCAGTATCATGCTGCTCCTCACAAAACTTCACAAGGGCTTGCCAAGAGCACAGAATTGCATCAAGAAGAGCAGCTGTAAATTCTGACCATCTGACTTCAAAGTATTTTGGGATGCGGCGTACTGTTAGTCCTTCTTTTCCCCCGAGTTTCTCTAAATCAGTAGTGCGCTTTGCTGAAGCATGGAAAAATGTTGCAATTCCAGATAGCTTCTTTACCAAATGGTCAATTTCTGGCACACTCTTACACAAATCTTTATATGCATTTGCAGTTGAATGTACAGCACAAATAGATTTGAGGAGAGGGTAATTGACATCAAGTTTTTCTCTTTCATCATCAAGAAGTTTCCAAAGTCCATTGTATTGTCCAGTATTCTTAGCTTCCCCATCTGTCGATAGATGATTAACTACTTTGAGAACTTCGTCAAAGCCAACAGTATCATTTGCACCCGTTTTAAGTGCCTGAAGATGACCAGCTGCACCAGGCTCTGTCACATGCCCAATACCGATAAATTTCAGATCTTGTTTCCCATCTTTCTGTATCATGTTAAGGAGCATGTATTCATTATCCTTTTGTGTTTGGTCCATAGATGCATCACAACGAAAAGATGCAGCAATGCATGAATCAATTTCCTTCTTGATTCTTGGCAAATCAGCAGACACTATAGTCCGTAAAAGTTCCTGCACAACTGGTGGTCTAATATATTGCAGGTCGAAATTGGTAGGACTGTACGAATTAAATGGTTTATTGCAATCAAACTCATGAGCCATTTTTGCAGCAATTACCCTAGACGGCCAGGAAAAGGCGGACGATGTTAAGCATTTTGCATCATTATAGACATGAATTATTAACGATCCAATCTTATTGGCTAGTTGCTGTCGTTGTGAGTTGACCATTTTCATCAATGGCACATATTGAGATTTTTCTACACTTGAAAGTTTCTTTAATCGTTCTGCTTTGAGGCATTGCTGGTGCGCTGGGCTCTGCAAGTGTTCTTGGATTGTTTGTTCTCTTGCTTCAGTACCTCCAGGTTGACAAATTGGCGGCACTCTTCCCCTGTAACATGCATGCTTCACAATTTCGAGATTTGGCAAGCATACCTTACAAACAACGCGTTTTCTTTTTCCTCTCCCTGGCACACGTTGAATAGACTTGTCGTCGAAGGACGCATTTGATTTGGCTGCATTCGATGAATTCGGTTTCACAGATGACAATTGTGTTTCTGTTACTGTTAACACACACGAATCAAACTCAGATGATAGAGAAGAGACAAAACTGTGACCACTGTCAGAACTACTGGCAAAGGTCGTAAAATCTTCGTCTATTTCAGCGATAGATTCTTCACTGCTATTCGTAGAATCAGGCTCTGTAGACGTAGTGGGTACTTCTGCTTCGTCCACTCCGTCCAGTTGCTTGTCGCTTGTGTTCGACGATTTAGTTTCGGTTGATTGCACAAAACTGTCAATTTTTCGCTGTTTTGCATGAGACATTTTACTTCCTTTAAGTTCACTTTTAATAAGTGTACGACTGCACGTGTTCACAATTCGTTGCTCGCCTTACGATCGGAACGTCATCGGTATATGACACGATATTATAGTTATATGAAGTACATACCAAAGCAAAATTGAGTATTTCGGAATAAACATTGTCATGCATTTTGAAGCTTTATTACAAGGTAAGTAAAATAAACAATATAATTTGGCATTTTTGACAAGTACCCCTCCCACTGATCACTCCTCGACTCCTTGTGCGTTGAGAACTTGAGTGAAAGCCTTTAGTGTTTGTGTGCGCCGGCCCAAATCAGTTTATTTCGTTTATCAAAACAAATTTTATCACTGCACATTTTGCATTTTATCACTGCACATTTTGCTTTTATCACTGCACAAATTGGTTATCACTGCACACTAAAATTAGGTATGTATACAAGGGTATTGTTACGGCATACAATGAGTGCTAATCAACGACAAAGATTTATTCATAATTTTCTTGATCGTGTAATTGATCAGCCACGTCAAATTCGTGACCGTCTACGAAGTATACGTAAATCAAAACAATGTATTTCAAACACCCTACGTGATACGCGTTGTCGTAAATGTACCGCACATACAGAGAAATGTTGGATTCACTTGGCAAAATACAATACTTTACGTATCAAACCCTCTAATGTTATCGGTGGTGGTAAGGGTTTATTCAGTTGGAAAAAAAACAATACCTCGCGGTAAAATCATTTCAAAATTCACAGGACGCAAAAGAACAAAAGCAGAAATTGATCGGCGCTACGGAAACAAATTGGCAAAATATGCTCTGTGCAATCGACAGGGTATATGTGTAGATTCAAATCATACAACTGATGCAGCCGCAAGATTTGCAAACGACAGTCATGGTACACCTTTTAGTAATAATTCGAAAATAAGGGGTAATACTGTATTTCGTTTAAAAGCAACTAAAACGATTCCTGCAAATCGTGAAATTTTTACATCGTACGGTCGTGAATATTGGAACAGGTAAAAAAGTTTTTTATAAAAACTCTATATTTACACCAACACTTCATTTGTACATAAACCTTGGAAACGTACTGAGATCTAAAGAACAAAGATGGCTGGCAAACAAACAAATTTACCGAATTTGGAATGGCGAAAACGTAATATGCAAAAAAAGGCGGATATCAATACAACAAGCTGTTTGTAGTCCAAGCAAAGCATTACTAACATTTTGGAATAAAATCCGCAACAATCAGAAAAGAAAAATACATACACGTTATAATAAAAGCAAGCAACAGGTTACAAAACTTGGACAAGACATGGACAGTGTATGGTTTGGTGACAATCAAGAGATACCCGTACAACGTGGTGGAAACATTCAAAAACGTAAACATGGTAGTAAAAAACCAAGAAACGAAACACCAACAATATATCAATATCATTAGTAGAAACAATCATGTAATAATAAATAATACTAATAAATTTTACTCACTTTACCGATGCGTTGTAGTTATGAAGGTTCAAGAAACGTTCTCTCCTAAATATGTTCTCACCTTATATTTTTTTTCATAATTATACCTAAAACGTCGTAAATACCCATATATGGTAATTACGAAAAAAATTTAAATTTTGCACGCTTGTAACTAAAAAGATATAATTTTGAATACATTTTTGTTAATAAAGCTAAATTACAGCTTTGTTAATTTTTTAAATTTTGTTCCGTGTCACAAAATGAAACCTTCCCTGTCCATGGGTTCGCTACAAATGGGCTACAAAAAAACAATGTACCTATCTATTTATATAGCATCATAAGGTAGCCTCTTTAATGCGACAGCATATTCGCACATTATTTTGCAACCGTCCAACAATTTTGCCATTTTAATATCACCGTACGTTCATATTCTTTTAATACTGCCAAATAGGGGGTCATAACATTTTCTAGTTCTTTCATTCTCCCACCGGTTGAAAAACTACCAAATTCGTGTACTCTTTCATTTGGAATGTTATGGTGTCGGCCAAGCAAATACATACGGACATGCGGTATTACAATAGGGCGTGAAACACCTTGAAGAACCTCAAGTAGCAACCCTTCATCCGCAAACAATTTTATCTGAACGTTTTTGTTAACAGGTTTAACAAACTGTAAAATACCAACAGTTTTCACAGACAATTGTAAATAATATCTCATATACTTGTAGTAATGCAAACCCATATTCTCTTTGCATTTTTCCAATGCACTAAGTACTTTCGTTTCTGTGTCGGTAAGATGAGCAGTGGATTTAAAATAAAACGTACGTGTTGTAGTAGCCATTTTTAAAAAATAAACAATTTGCATTTGTTCACAATCTAGAACTCGTAATAGTTTGTTCTTTAAAAATGAAATGATTTTATACCTGCGGTTTTTAGTCAACAACTGTAATATAAAACCCGATTCATAAAAAATATTGAAAATTAATTTTACATCTTCCCGCTTCCATATATGGATAATCCAACGAATCTCGCCATAACAATCTATAACAGCATATGCAACGTATAAAAATTTATTATATAAATCGTACAAATTATAACGTCATCTTAAAAATGATTTTCCATAAAAACAGTAACAATATCTTTACATATATTTGTCACACCTGTCTGGTTCTTAATTTCCTTTAGAGGAGCATTAAAACCACTTTCATTCAGCAAATCAAAGTTTGCATCTAGCACATATCTAAAACATGGTATACCTTTACATAACATCCGCATTCCCAGCCTTTCTAACATACCCATATGGGTGACACCTTTCAATACAATCACTTAACAAAACTAAATATTTATGCAAATACACAATACGTTCTTTACAAACTAAAATATGTTGCAATATATACTTTATATGTTTGCCCTTATACAATTTTTGACTTATTAGTAATTTCACCGTTATCATGTTTAATTGTTTCATGCATTTGATACTGAAGTTTTGGATCATATGTGCCCAGTGCATAAATCATTTCAGCTGCATTCCCAAACGGCTCTGTTGTAATGGCGTTATTAAGACGTTTTAGCCCTGCATGAATGCTAACATCGGTATACACATCGTGTGTATCATGCCAGCAAGGTCCCACACCAACGCGAAAATACGTTTCATCAATTGCATATTCAAACGGGATTGCAAACGAACGACACTCAACTATTTGAACCTCATTTCTCTCGAGTATTTGTTGACAACAAAAATCATATGGGGCCAAATGCCATATGTTGGTTCTTCGGATAAACAAACGCTTTGCCCATTCCCGTGGTACGCGGTATAAGGTTTTGACATGATTTTCCGTTTCATTGTCAGGCTCGTATTTGGAAATGTATGAAACACCAACAAGAACGTGGTAACTAGACTCTGGTGTTGTTAGATCTAACATGAGAATATCGTTTATACCCCCCCCCATGTTACCTGATATCCATACTTCGGACTTCTTTGCCTGCCAATAATAGTCCATAATTCGGACTTCATTTGCTTGTACAGGTTTACGGCTGTGTAACGCATTGCAAGTATAATAAAGCGTCCATAATATAGGGTGGTAATAGTAAACATTAGGTAAATGATCAAATGCCGTTATAGCCAACTCGCTACCGTCATGGCCAGGGTATCGTTCTTCGTACGTTTCAGGATACACCTTATTCATTTTTTAAACATTGCTTTACAAAGTAACTAAATAATTCAACTTCGTGCCCGCTACAGTGAAAACACCCCTTAAATAAATGGTTACCACAATCCCGCTGTGCAATACCATATTTGTCTAATAGCAACGCATACTTAGGACAATCCAAAACTTCAAGATTAATACACTGAATAAACATGGTGTTCAACATGTCTCGTTCAATAGTCCCACCTTTGTACCCCACAAGGTCAGCATTTTCAAACATTGCCCATAAAAAACACAATACCTCGTCATATAAAAAAAATTCTTATTAATACGTTCGCGTACAACCGGTAAACCATGAATTTTCCTTATTTGGAATTTCACAGCACGATCATGTTCATCAAATAATAATGGGTTTGGCATATAAATCTGATACGTTTGAACAGTTTTACAATCTGAAATCCACACAGACACTTCACATAAAAACGTTTTCTTTTTCCAACTGTACGCTTCGCAATCAATAATGTGTGTTATACGTTCTGCAATTTTATGCCGATTTGTTGCAATTACAACTCTGTCCTCATCATTTATTTGACCATGTTGCTTTTGAAACAACATCTGCACACAACTATCAGACATTGTGAAATGAAATAAAATGCAAACAGATCAACATTTAGACAAAATATTGTATTGCTTGACAATTACAATAACCATAAAATCTTAAACATCTACATTGTATGGTAAGATATTTCATATTATTATACATTCTAACATAGATTACAATCAAATCAAATACAAGTCCCGGTGACACTAAAACACCGTAGTGCCACTCTATCTTACTTACTATTTTCTCTACAAAAGCCCAATCATACGCTTCCTTATTCCTTTCCTTTCTTTCGTTTGTCTCAATTACACCAAAAATTAAATAATTAAAAATTGTTTACACCATTTTCTACCAATTGTCCACCACAGTGCCCTGTTCAAATCTTCTACCTCGTGTGTACATTTCGTATTATTGTTAAAGGTATGCCCCATAGTATTAAAATACATTTTATTGTTCTCTATATCTATAGTTGGTTTATACTTTATTGTCACATATACAAATACATGTTTAGTACTACTTTCATACCCCTTCATACTTGTAAATGTTAAATGATATGTATGCATACTATTAATAATATCATTGTCACAATGATGCGTACACTACCAATATTTTACAAAATATAATTGGTCATATATAAATATCCGGTTAGCTGTAGGACCAGTTTTCGTCTCCTTCAAAGATTGTAGATAATTGGCTAACTTCACACCATCTTCATCAGTTGGTCTTAAAAAACACTGCATCGTTGCAAATCAGTCTTGCGTCAGGAAACACATCCCTAATTTGTAAACATAATATGCAACATTTGCACATATTATCATGTCTGTGACTTTCGCAGCTACAATAAAATGACATATATTGTTGTATCTTCGTATACAAAGTACCATTATACTTTAAAATACACGCTAAACGTCCCGATAGTAGTATTGAATAACTTTCTCTGCAAGTATCTATAAGTTTTTCAATATCATCTTTTTCATAACAAGCTTCTATAACTAGCTTTATAACATTTTCAAGAAGTAACGAAAATGATGCAATCGCATTATCCCTGTGAACACCCCCGGACATACAACACAGATGTTTTACACAACACTTTGTTCGTTGGTTTATTTTGTATACGCGATCTTCGTGCAAATAAACATATTCGGGATACAGAAAAAATGTTATCTCCATGGTACAATCAACACTTCTCTGCCAATCAATAATACAAACTGTAACACAGCGTTGTCCATTTCCCACAATAGATAGATCGATAAAATACAAATAATATTCCAGTATAGCATAAAACTTTCCATGCATACACACAGTAGGCCAGTGACGTGTGCCAACAAGAAAAATCGTTAAATTATCAAACAACACATCCTTAAACAATTTTAAAATTTTTCTATCTTTTTTCATCGCTTCGATTATTGATAAACTTTCACTATCATAAACAATTTCACAAGGTGACAATAACCCATGATTGCATGTAAACGCAGTGTTAAACGAAAGCGCCATTTCTGTCGTGGTAACTTTTTAGTTCATCATCAACTAATGTTCGCGAATATAATGTTTCCGATAAGATATCGTAATGTTCCGGCTGTTGTTCGTTGATAACAAATGAAAACACCTTGCAGATAAACCGCTTAAACTGTAGACCTTCATATGTTGGATGAAATGTAACATGATACCCACATGTGAATCATGGGGTCAATTCAATATGATATTGGTGAACACCGAGAACATGAGGCAGAACCGCTATTATCCACTGGTTATAACAAAGTTTTTTGTGCAAATATACAAACCGCTGCATGTGGGAATATATTTGGTTATGATAAAATATATTTAGTCGTGATAATATAAAATCATGATATATGTCTTCCTCTTTTCGTACATCGTACTGTCATCAAACTGCATTTCACCAAACAATCCTTTGCAGCATAGAAATAAAAAGCGGGGATACCAAAACACTTGTTTTTCTTGCAATATTCTGCACATCATTCATATAATCATCACCTGCAACAATTGCGACCGTTTTTAGTTCGTTTTCAAATCTTGATTGCTGCTCCGCCGTAGCCAAGTAACTATGATAATGATGATGATGGTAGACATTAACTTTTCTTTTGATCTCGAATACACCCCCGTATGCAACACTCGTTACAATATCGTAAGCGTTCGAATCTAGGATATCGTAAATCCTAACCGTATACTTTTTCCCATACGATTCTCGTTGTTTTGTATAAACATTGCTTAGAGAACATAAAAATATATATTTCACATTTGAAAATATATGGTTGCAAATAAACACAACGCATGGACTATACGTATTGCAATCATGGGCATCGTAAACATCAATTTCCTCAAAACGACAAGTACACGGTTTATGAATTTCGTTTTGCTTCAAACATTCATACAAATTCACACATAATTTTTCATCAAACAAAAAGTACATATAGTAATTCATTACTTACTATAGTTCGCGCTCTTGTATAAATTGTTCCTGGTTCAACAATACACTTTAAGCAATTTTTACAGCTAACTTTGTGCCAAGATAAAAACCAAAAAACAATGTAGTTAACACATATGTTAAAAGCAGCATTGTCATGACAACAATAACACTGTATATCGCACCACCTTTCATTTTTCCTTATATGGGTAATTACGTCTAAAAGCAAAAAATTACAATACCTTATATGGATAATACTGTTAACCTACCCAAGGTTAATGCCCGTGCCAGATGTATTGTTTAAACCCTCCAAGGTTAACGTCAATGCCAACTATATTGTTTGCGCCATATATGGATAATTACGCACATACAACCAATGCGTATTATCCATATATGGGTAATAGCGACTGTGATGTTCTTGATTTTCCAGTCTAAGCCATTATTTCAGTCTGATTCTCAAGATGAACACATCGGCAAATCCATCTTTTCTGGCTTTTGTTGAATTGTTTGGTTCGGCCCTGAATTCAGGCAATTTACAGATTTACACAGATTTATTTGTACATTTTACACAATTTCAAATGGATAATGTCAGTGATTCATTCGAAAGACGTTTTATTCTATGGAAATGCCAATACGATTCTGCTAACACCGCCCTATTACAACAACAACAACAACATCAACACTCGCCAGCTAAACCCGAATCTACCGATGCTACCAATTACCTAAAGGCCGGCGCACACTAGAGCTATGTGCTTAGCAAAATGTCATTCGTGACTGTTGGCGTAAGGAGATAGCTCTCGTGTGCGGGCGATTTACGAACGACTTTTGTCATTCGTGCCACTTACGCCAAATATCTAACATGTTTGATAATTTCTGCTTCGCGTGCCAAAATCTTTCCGTGTGCGGCGAACGAAAGCTATCTGCTTACGGATTGTCGTAACAGCGCATGCGTAGTATACGAAAGTAAACATCCAAGATGGCGGCGCAAAATGAATTGCTGGCCGAGGCAATTTTAGAGGACAAACTTACTGGCTATTTATTTCACCGCACATTCCCTTTTGTCCCTATTTCTAAAATCTGCAGAACTCACATCGTATAAACATTTGTATTCAGGCCAAAGTTCGACAAGTTTGTCCTCTAAAATTGCCTCGGCCAGCAATTCATTTTGCGCCGCCATCTTGGATGTTTACTTTCGTATACTACGCATGCGCTGTTACGACAATCCGTAAGCAGATAGCTTTCGTTCGCCGCACACGGAAAGATTTTGGCACGCGAGGCAGAAATTATCAAACACGTTAGATATTTGGCGTAAGTGGCACGAATGACAAAAGTCGTTCGTAAATCGCCCGCACACGAGAGCTATCTCCTTACGCCAACAGTCACGAATGACATTTTGCTAAGCACATAGCTCTAGTGTGCGCCGGCCTTAACAGCAAACTACAACCACCTTACCTGCTGAATTGGCCAAAATACAGGAACAGGTGTCTTGCTTTAATAACTATACGTTGGCTACTTCGCCCACAAACCACCCGTCTACTGTGAGCGAAAGCGTTGTTACACTGAATAGTAGCGAGAATTGCGTTACAGATACAAGTACAGAAATGGACGGTGGAATAGATCTTGTTAACAAAGTCATACATGGCGACATGATTACAACGGGTGTAAATTTGGAAAAAACAGACCTTTCTCCAAAATCTCAGGGCAAAAATATTCAACAGATGAAGGAAATTTATGAGCATTCAAAAGAAGCAAGACCAGTTCCGGTACCAAAAAAGTGCAAAAGAAATGTCGAGGACCAGTCCCACCCGCGAAAGCGCCCTGGTACGAATTGGTAATGAAAGTGTTGAAAAAGACAGCGCTGTTACCCTGGCATGTCACAAACTTTACCTGTTTACCGGTAATGGCGAGGTTAGAAAAAAGAAGAGAATTTTCATGAAATTTGGTAGTGACATTAAGTGTTTTTCAATGAAACACTATGCAAGCTACGAATTTATCAGGGATCAAAGAAAAAAAGCTTTAGAAATTATAAAGGAAGAGCCTGACTTACTAGATAAGTTAAATTATTTAGAAACTAATATGGAACCTTACTTACAAGACAATCAAACTTTTTAGCTTTAGCCCTAGTTTTGTACATATTTTTACTGAACTTTATTAAAATTTGTTAATATTTACCCAAAATTTGTTGATTTTTGCTGGTAATTGTTTGAATTTTTCCGGAAACACGTCAGCCGCGAGCGACCGCTGCGCACGAGCATATTAGCATGCACCAAATTCAAAACCGCTCATTACGTCGGTCGACCAGGGCTTCAGCGTAACAACTCCGTCACGCATGCGCAAAGCAAACCAACACGACGCCTTGCTTTAGCAACTGGGTGGACACACCCAAAAAAACAACCCCCAGTCCGTGGACCGATTTTCTCCTGATTTTTTCCCTGAGTCAGCATTTTTCGTAATACTATTTTATAATAAAACAAAAAATTTCCCACACCCCCACAAAAAACTGTTAACTTTTATCACTATACTACTGTATATCGTCGATGGCGTATAGATTTTTACAGGTAGGTTATTAGGGGTTGGGGTAAGAAGTATTACTATACGAAATTAATTATATGTGAAATCAATAATTTATGTTTTATTAATTATAGGACTACCATAACCAACAATACAAGTGAGCAACCAGCACTTATTGCTGTTAAAAATCCCCGTACAGCAGTTCTGTCTACTTCGCAAAAATACAAGTGTGCTTTTTATAGAAGCTCAAAAGCTTGCTACTATGGCCAGTGAGGTATCAATGAAAAGATATAAGCAACGACTTCAGGTGCTGTGTGACCTTGTGGGCATGTGGGAAAAGATAAAGATGCTTCTGTCATCAACATTGTAGAAGAGGTAACTATTACACATCTACTAGAAAATACATGCATGCAGAAATCCTCGCCTTACTGACAAAACATTATATTTTCTGAATATGAAGAATTGAAAGTAGTTGTCATGGTAACACGATAATTTTAAGAATAGTTTTAAACCTGGTTTTAAAATTGAAAAATCCCCCCAAAATATCACTTTTAATAACAAAATTATCAATTTCCCAAACATATGTATGCCAGGTATGGATTATACGTAATATAAGCATCAATTTAATGTAAAATTCAACCACAAACGCTTCGCAAAACGTTTTAAAATGTTCTCAAAACTAAACGGCCTTTTATCGAATTATCGGTAAACATTGAGTTTGAAATAAGCTGATTTCAAATTCTCGCATAAAAATAACTTTGCATTCCTCTTTATTTAAATACTTTAATATACAAAAGAAAAGGTAATTAATAAAACTACACTGAAATTATATGCTGTCTTTTTTCACTTATATACGCAATGATAGGTTTAGTTCGATATTCGTCGTATCGCCCACCACTATCAGTTATAAATATATCAATTATAAGACAAACAATACATCAATTAAAACAGACTTACCTTCGTTAACGTTGGCGACTTTGCTCTATTCTTTTAGACGTTTTTGGCTCTCAGAAAGGTTTTGAAATTTACAAAATCTTGCTAAAATACAACTTGCAAGAAATGTACTTTATCATATACTCAAAGGCCGTCGGGTTTTAAAACAATTATAAAATAAATATTTAAAACAAACTTACCTTTGTTAACGTCGGCTCCCTTCTTTTAGCCCATGCATTCTTTCGTCTTTTCTTTCTTGAAATTTACAAAATCTTGCAAAAATGCGAGCAAAAATAAGAGATATTTGCAAGAAATTTTAATCATCAAATCAAGAAATGTTTGCTATTTCGCTGTCGTCATGCAGTCGTTATAATGCAAACTTTAAATTGGACCAATCAGTGTCCGCTATTCATGACAGTCCACCATATTTTTGAGATCAGTGAGGATGACCACCCACGCACAGTGACCCACGCCCGCGATATTTGATGAACTTTAGACTTCGCTAATGCTTTCGTTTCCCCGGGTGTAAATAGCCGGGGGGAATTAGTACCCTCGCACAGCGCTTTGCGCCGTCGGCTCAGGGATAAATAGGTTATGATAACAGTACTGTATTATATTTTTATGTATGGTATCAAAAAAATGTGTAGGTACAACAGCAAGATGCATCAAACATGCAGGATACAGAAGTTCAGTCCCTACAAGACTCTCCCATCCTCCCAAAAACAAACAGCACAACAGTCAACAGGAGATGAAGTCTCGGAGGTATTAACTACATATTTTCGATGAAACATGTATATGTGTAAAAAACATAGACGGATTGTCATATTTTTTACTGGGGTGGTGCCAGAAATTTTAAGGGGGTGAGCTGTGAGCAGGTGACTGAAGCAACACAAAGTGTCACCAAACCCCAGTAAGGTCTATATTCTAGGGGTGGAGCACTAGAGCAGCGAGGGGGAGTCTAGAGAGCAGAAAACAAAGTATCCCTGGAAAAATTTGAAAAAAATCCTGATTTCTAGCTGCAAAAAAAAAGTTTTTGAAGTTGTCATATCAATGACAATGGTTTGGCATGTCTGATTGTCTGTTGAGACTTGAGAGAGTTAAAGTTAAATGAACCTGTAAAAGTGTAAACCCGATAGGCCAATACACAATATGTTTTTACATTTATAAAGTCATTGACATTGTGTCGTTTGAATCCGAGTACAATTTACGATGCAACTACGATGTGAACATCCACCTTCAAGCAAGCATGTGAACATCCACCTTCACGAGAACTAGAATCACAACTACCTGTCTCACAGCAGCAGCCACCACAAATTAAAGTATCAGGGGTATGTTTCCAAAATATATTGCGTGTCTCTATAACCTTTGTTCTGATGTTATACAAAGATATCTTGTAACAATACCATTGCATGTCAATTTATTTTTATGCAGAAAAAAGGGTTGGGACTTTGTGATGTAAAGATGCCTGCAAAAATGAAAGCCAGAGGAAGACCAAAAGGCATTGGCCAAACAGCGATAGGGGTCCCAAAGAAGAGCAAAGATGCCAATCTCCCTACACCATATGCCAAAAAATGTCGTGAGGATAAAACCAGATGTAAGCAGTTAATCCAGTTTAGACTATTCTATTCAGTCATGCACTGTACCATACCTTATTATTTTACCCCGTCTAATGTACCTTAATTTGTAAATAGGTTAAATATATTACAACATGATCGATTTCTTTTTTAGTAATTCTACATTGGTTTATTGATAACCATACTGCTGAATCTGCCATCAGTAAAGAGCAAATGATAACAGAAAAAGAGCTGAAAGCAAACAAGGATATATCATTTGCATGTTTAGATGAAAACATCGAGATAGCTAGAATTAAACCATATTTTACAGCTGCTGGTTGGTCTGCAGTTCTTAAATCTGTTAAAGAATTAAAAAAAACAAATCATGTTTTGCTTTACCTGCAAGAAAGAATTAGAAGGAGATCAGTTGAGTTGTGATTCGTGCCTAGAATGGATGCATTTGCACTGTGCTGGGCTAAAGAAAGTCCCAAAAGCGAGGAAATGGTTTTGTAATAACTGTTATAGAATGTATAATTAAAGTTACTAATATTTATTGTCCTAGCTGCTCCATATGGAACCGAGTTACAGTACAAGTTGACTTTTGGGCCTCTGATCTTAACGACTTAATACAGTAGTTACTGCTAATAGTTAAACCCTATCTGCAAAAATAGCATGATCCCAATACTTGAGGTTGACGAAAATTGCCTAAGCCTCCACCCCATGGGGCATAATAAAATGTCTAAAGCCCCATTATCCACCCCCTTACCACCTATGCCTATGTTTTTTGTGGGAGGGTGGGTGGGTGGGGGTTCTGATGACATTAAGTGCATTCATTAATGAGATTTATTATATAAAGTATAGTGCTTTATCGAGATTTCGAGCACTGATAAAAGTGATAATCTCACATGTGAGATTATTCATGATAATCTCACATGTGAAAATTATCGCTTTTCAATTATCGCTTTTCTGTAAAAATTATCGCTTTTCAAAGATTGTCGTTTATATAATAAACAGAATAATACATGAGTGCTTGGAAATACCAGATTTATTTCTCGTGTTGAACATGATATCTCACTCGTTCGCTGCACTCACTCGTGAGATATCATGTTCAACACTCGAAAGAAATCTGGTATTTCCGTGCACCCATGTATTCTCTATTTAATTTACTATTTAATGCAGTAGATACCTTGTTAATTGGATGATTGTGGGATGCTTTTTACCATTTTTTACCACCACCAGGCTTTGCCTGTCCTTTAAGGGACCGGTCATTATTTATGGAAGGGGGGAGGGAAAAAATAAGGGGGGCCATATGTATAAATAAATGACTAGAAGGGAGGGCTATTAAATTTTTTAAAGAAAATGAAGGGGGTTGCAATTAAATTTGAAGGAATTTGCTTAATAAGCCTGGTATCCATTTGGTCGTAAATGTTACGACTAAATCATGGTCACTTATGTGAAATAGTCTGGATTTATCTTGTCTTTTGTGTGCTGTATGCAAATCAGTCTTTACTGATCGAAGAGATAAATTGATAATGTATTATTACATCAGCTATCTTGATGTGGTTAAGAGCAGATGTCAGCAAGGAGTGGGTGAAGTGCGGCACAAGTTCGAGAAATCACCCATCCTCATTTTTTGTCCAAAGATAGTCCACAGTGAACCAATAAACGTGATGGGTTTCTTTAGCCCGGGTTCCTTCTTCTTCTCGTGAAAATTCGCAAAAACTATTTTGACCGCTAAATGTTGCAAATCACGATGGTGGACTGCTTTATTTGAAGTGAAAATAACTGTTTGCCGCTCGATCGCCGTACGAATTATGGTCAAAAAGCGCCCAGATATACACTAATGAGGTGTTTACAAGTAATTTAATACAAAAATATTTGCAGTGCATGTATTACCGGCTTCCTGCGGAGCCGTCCAAAACAGGTCATATTTCATGAACTAAAAATGTTAATTTAGGACAGTTTTTCTAAGTTGAAATTCGATCTGCGGTATAGGTCAATTCGACTCAATATTTTAGCTATGGCAGACAGAAGGGTTCTATTTAACTCCTGAACAAAAAATAGTTTGGTACTTTTCATTGCCTTTGAGATACAGCATTGCAAAATTCATTAAAATCATAACAATGGCGCCCGATAACCTGTGATGATCGATAGGCGTATTAAACCAAGACGTTGCAACAAACATTGCTACTCACCTCAAAATTGACTAAAAACGTCACCAATAGGAAAATATCACGTACAGACACATACACTGTAGCAATAGGGCATATATATCTTAAAAGATTCCATTTTTCCTGGGAAGTAGACATGACCATATTGACCGGCATCTGTGCCATCACATCGGTTTGAACGGCAATCGCCATTATTATATAGACAACAGACGTCTATCTTGACTAAATGTTTATTCAGATTTAAACAATCTTGGAAATATCCGCATAATATTCAAACTTTTAGCCATTCGTTGGAATCATTACCGCGTAGGGTTTTCGCCCTCCAATGTTTACCTTATTCTGCGCCGTCATGTTAAGACTGACACAGGTCAGTGGAAATTTATTAATTAATGTTGTTTAGATGACAATAAAAGATGTAGAAGATGCTTCTATATCCTGATTATTACTATTACATTAATAAACTTTAAATATCACTTTCTAGGCATAAAAACAACTTTTATCAAAAATTAAACCTTCTGTTTTCAACAACTTATACCTATATATTATTGTACAATGTCGATATATACCTCCACAAACATAGCTTTACAGGGTCAGTTTTCGCTTTTAATCGAATTAAAATAATTTATAGGTTTCTACACTTGGTTTTGTTCCCTTGGCCTTGACGAGTGAAATTGTCTAGGCCTTTCGCCTTCAGCAGGGGCGTGGTAGCTACTGTTCACAGGCAGAGGGGAGGGGGGGGGAGTTAACTGCTAATTTTCCCACTGATATTCTGTGTAAACCCTCTGAGAAAACTTTAAGAAAATGCCTGAAACTTTCCTACCAAACCTCAAATTTTAGCAAGATTTCCGATTTTCCGAGTTCCGATTGCGAAATTTTCGACAAATCTTTAACCCACCACGGGCATGACGCCCCCATCTTTCTGTGCCTGGTGGAACGATTTTACTCGTCAAGAAGAGATCTTTAGCAGAGTAGCTTTGCACTGTTATAGTGTCCGGTGGACGGGCTGTTAATAAGAAAATGTTATTATGTTACAGCGAGCCATATGTTTGCATATATTGTAGCGCTAACACAAATTTTCTCTCAAAAGACGTGCAGTGTAGCACAAAAATTACCCGCGACATGTGCAGCCAGTGCAGAACTCCTCGATTTTTTCAATGTAAGGCTGTTTGCGTTTGGCAGATACATCTGTGGCGTCGATCATCAAAGAATCACAGATCTCTTTGAGGGCGGATATGTTAAATTTCTTTAACTGTGACCTTGATATGATATCACACAAATTGTATGTCTTATACATGATTGGGTGCTGTGGCACCAATTCGCAGGCAACTTCGTTGGTGAGCAGTTCAATGTGGGCTTCCATTGCTGCGTTTTCCAAATCGTCAAAGTCTTCATCATCTTCATCATTGCCCTCCTCAGACAGCCTTTTTTTCGCTGCTAGGCGAGAGAAGAAGCTCGTTACCTGAGAACTTGTCAAAAATTCTTCGCTGGTAAACATTCTTTCTCTATTTACATTTCTTATTGTCAGCATTGCACGAGCAACGGAGGAAGGATCTGCTTTCTGACCAGTTTTTTCACCAATTTGGAATTTTCCTATCAGATAGTCCTTTTGTTTCTTTGAAAACCGAGCTTTCTTTGATGAAGACTTCAGTGCCCAACCCATTGCTAAGTCAGCTGCACAGTTGACTACAGGAGTCATTTCTTTTCCTTCCGTTGCCCCTATCTCTGGTATCGAAACCGCCTGGCCCTCTAAAGCCTCCGCATAGCTCAGAACCGCTTTATCTAACAGACTTTCACATTCCAAAACTCTGCTATGTTTTTCACAATCTAAATGCCTTTGCAAAGAGGAATGCCGCAAGAAAGTTTGATTGCATCCTTCTTCGGGACACGTAAAAACATCTGGAGCATTTGTCGGTTGCTCCTCGATGTCGTTGCCGCTGTTGAGATGAATCCTCATGTGCGATTTAATTGTTGCAGCTTTCCTGTCACATGGACCCTTTCCTCCCTGCGGATCAGAAAAATCCAAACCTTTGACGGTGACGCCATGTTGCAAGCCCAATACTCTGGCGCTAGCTGTGATTGGACCACAGTGATAGCAGCCAGCATTGTCTTGACGGTAGAAGACTGACTTCAGGCCAGGCATGATTGACTTGAGCTGCTTGATAACATCTGCCATAACTGCAAGAACGGCGCAGTTATCTTGACTGCAACTTGGTAATATGTGGACCAATGTTAGCATCTCCACGTCCCCAGTGACACCTTTTCTCGTTGCTACTGTTATATGCCAAGGAATTCCACGTTTGCCAAACCAATCTTTTTGACTCTCCCTGTATTTTCTAGGCAAATACTTCATTGCCCAGTCTTGCACCAATAGCACTGAAGACTCGTCTAGTTTTTCCAAAACGTCAGTCCGTGCAGCGTCCTGGTTAACTGATCGAAGAAGGTGGGATTTCCAAGCCAAGATCGCGCTTTTTGCTTGCTTAACTCTAAACTGGAGCTCGTCTTTAACTGTGTCAGGTAGAAGATTAGCTCTCTGTTCCACCAGGGCAGCTTCGATGTCTTCGATTGTAGATGTAAGCATATTGCAGCGGTGACAAGTGCGGGAATGTTCATGATCACAGGTGACCTGGAAGGCTTTTTCCTTTGGATCACTTAAAGCAAATGGTCTACAGTGATCAGCCACAGTAGAACATGGAGACACGTGGACCTTATAATCGCTTTTAAGGTAACGCTTGCCTTCTCGTAGTCGCTTCTGCTTTTCTTTGGCCCATCCCCTGGCCTACGTCTCCAAGAGTCTCGGCAACACCACAAAGGTCATCGAATGCTTCAGCACCGGCAGAGCTAATGTAATCAAGCCCTTGAAGAGATTTACGGGAGGAAGCTGCACAAACGTTCAAAATTAGAAGCAAACTGCTGTGACTCAAGGGTTTAAATCCCAATTGTTCACAGTAATTGATATACTGTGTCGCTATTTGAGCTCGAACCATCGTTCTTATAACGTTGGGTACTTTTATGGTCTCCTTGGTCGACAATGTGATTATCTTTTCTCCAGAAGGCAAGTCCTGAGTGATATGCGAACTTGTAATAAAGTCGATAAAATGGTCAATTTGTGAGGTAGACACTCGTAGTCTAGATGTGGTAATATTCTGTACTGGCGCCCCTCTACCCTGGATCAAACAATGACGTTTGGCTTCAGTAAACATGTATTTGGTGATGTTCGGTATCCAGTGCTGTAACCGTTTGAGTGGCATTTTCTCCGCCATAATCGATAGAATTTGTCGTCGTGTCTCCCAGCAATCAGCAGCATTGTAGCATTCCACAAGGGCCATCATTAACGTTTCATTGAGACCATGGCAACCAGACAAATCTTCGTAAGTTGGATAATTCCCCGCCATTTTACTGGATGAGCACACTACCTCGAACAATTGCAGTGCATCATTTGGTGCAATATCACTAACCACTGCCCTTACAGCCTGCCCAGTTTTACGATTGTAATAGCGCTTTGTTCTTTCGTTCGCATCATTCCACGGCATGCTCATTCTTGAACGGATCAGGCTGACGTCGCGGGAATGCAAATATTGGTTAAGCGCACTATGGGTTTTGCTGTCCTTCTGCTCTTGCGTGATCATATTACCAGAAGAACTGCTTTCACTGCAGGACTCACTGTTTGGTGGTAAATAAAGGCTTCTAGAGGGGGTTGCTGGGCTACTGGTGTGTGGTTGAAGGGTAGAATTTGTTTCATCCTACGAATCAAGTTATACTCGATATTAAACTGGTGTTTAAAAACAAGTTAGCTGCACATATGTACAAGAACCCAATGTGCCCGTGTTATCAATTTATTTTAGTTCTTTATTTGTGCAAAGACATGACTAACTGGTGGTTTGAAAATGTAGAAGGCGCTTTATTTTAGAATTTTATACAACATGTTCCCAGGGTGTATTACGGAAGAGCCGGGGAACGAGGTCGAGATCTAAAATTATGCTGGGTGTGTGCATTCTTGTCCGCAGAGCTTTTTTCTCACTCGGTTCCTCGTGGAAAATAAGGCTATGGAATTGATGGCCAAAAAATATCTGATTGGCTATTCATTATAACCGTGCTAATCAGTGAAATGTGCAACTTTTCATTTTAGTGAGCAATTTAGCACAAAACAAGTCAGTAACTCTGTAATATTTTTTGAATACTTCATTTAGTACCCCTAGATCTAGAACTTGTTCATTTGGAGGCATGCGCAATGTAAAGGAGACAATTTTGAAATGTGTAAAAAACTATAAATTTATCAAATTATCTCATAGATTTGTGTTAGTATAAGTACTTTGGCATCTTCAGGTCAATCTAACACTGAAAACAAACAAAAAATTTAACCTCGAAAAAAGAGAGAGCGGTGTGTGCAAGCCTCATTTTGAACGGCTTGTGAAAACATGAATGAGGGGTTTAAAATAAAATCCAATTTGAATTAACGGTTAAATTTATAGTTTTCTAGACATTACAATTTGTCTACTTTTTTGGCAAACCCTGTAGTGCAGAAAATGTGCACTTCCAGAATGAGCAGTCGCGCAAGGCCGCAAGGTCTGCGGGCGAGGATGGGGTGTGCGCGGCATAATAAAAGGCATAATGAGTATGTACCTTGTATGTCATCGCTAAAACGCGTATGATTTAAAACGATCTCGCTCACATACTCGCTAGTTTTATGATCTCGTGCACACTTGCTGCATGCCTGCATTATAAACCTCTAGAAAAATATTAAAAGTGCAGGCTAGATATGACTTAGTGATAAAAGCATTACAGGACATTGCCCATGTTGTTGTGTATTTACTGACCAATGAAATATTTCCAATTGCCATGGTGATGGTTGCTATGCCTTCAGTCTCTTCATCCTTCGTTGATGGGGTTCCAGCAATGGGAGATGATTCAGCCGTTATAGTAAGTCTGCAACTACAGCATATTCCTGACAAGAGAGAAACGTTGATGTAATCTTAAATTTTAAGACTTTTGGTTAATGAGTCGCCGAACTAATCCTGAACAGAGGGATTACTTAGCCCTACAATTTCATTGCACCAAAATTTTATATTATTTTGGCGTGAAAGTGCGTAAAATTCCCATCGTCACTGCAGGGAAGCCTGTGCTGGTTTGATTAACTGGATAGACAGAGTGCGTATCTATGTTTATATCACATTTGTGTTGGTTTTCTTTGATCGTCCAAGGTTTATAACTATAGCTAATCTACCTTGAATAAATAATTAGATCAAACTTTTCGACAAAACGCGAGAATTTTTCATCGAAAATTTTTGAAAATGACAAAATATGTTAGGAAACCTCCACAACTGTGATATAAGTTAGTTATAAACCTCGAAAGTCGGTTTATAACTGATATGTTGCCCTCGGACGCTGCGCGTCCTTGGGGGCAATATATCAGTTATTAACCTCCTTCTCGGTTTAAAACTCTAACTTGCTGGTGATTATATTACATTTACAACATACCTGAACCAGCAGGGATGAATATTCCTGTCCGACGCAATATTGTTTTCGACAATGATTTATTGATCCCACGATCTGCCTTACGAGTTGATCTTCCAGGCTGCTTATGACTAGCCAGATCTCCTGGAACTCGGCAGCGTTGGGAGCCTCTACGCCATCCGATACCCAACGAAGATCGATGTGACGGGCAGATTGTCATTTTCTTTAGATATCAGGCGGACAAGTGAAAATCGATGCACGCGCCAGAATTAAATTGACTTCAGAATCAACATCGTTGATTCCCATCCCTCTAATATGACCTGTAATGTCTTTAGTGCATGATGTGAGTGGAACAGTGGTTGCATCTTCAACTGGGTCTCTGCTCCGTTTGTCAGGACCACAGGAGCCACCAACAAGTCGCTGGAACGAACAATTCATCGCCTAAAGTTTTCAGTTTCGCTCTCTCTCTCTTTGGTTTGCCAAATGCCAATAGACTTTAACTCTCACGAACAAGTGTCAAGGCCAAGCTGATAACAACGGAATCTTATGCGTGTGATAAGGCCGGATGCGACGCCGATTAAGTGCTCGCGGCACGCGTTGACAGTAGATCAATTTTCCGCGATGTTGTTTGAAATTTTATCGCATTGATTTTAGTAAATTTTAAATTAAACAGAATTCTGATGATTTGTCAAAAAGCTGTTCCTAGAATAAGCAATCTCAAACTCTTTTGCAGGTGATATTTTCCACAAAAGTGAGTCCAGTTGTAAGTCGACGTAATCAGTATTATGCAAAAATTTCCACTGACCTGTGTCAGTCTTAACATGACGGCGCAGAATAAGGTAAACATTGGAGGGCGAAAATCCTACGCGGCAATGATTCCAATGAATGGCAAAATGTTTTAATATTATGCAGATATTTCCAAGATTGTTCAAATCTGAATAAACATTTAGTCAAGATAGACGTCTGTTGGAATATTGTCTATATAATAATGGAGATTGCTGTTCAAACTGATGTGATGGCACAGATGCCGGTCAATATGGTCATGTCTACTTCCCAGGAAAAATGGAATCTTTTAAGATATATATGCCCTATTGCTACAGTGTATGTGTCTGTACGTGATATTTTCTTATTGGTGACGTTTTTAGTCAATTTTGAGGTGAGTAGCAATGTTTGTTGCAACGTCTTGGTTTAATACGCCTATCGATCATCACAGGTTATCGGGCGCCATTGTTATGATTTTAATGAATTTTGCAATGCTGTATCTCAAAGGCAATGAAAAGTACCAAACTATTTTTTGTTCAGGAGTTAAATAGAACCCTTCTGTCTGCCATAGCTAAAATATTGAGTCGAATTGACCTATACCGCAGATCGAATTTCAACTTAGAAAAACTGTCCTAAATTAACATTTTTAGTTCATGAAATATGACCTGTTTTGGACGGCTCCGCAGGAAGCCGGTAATACATGCACTGCAAATATTTTTGTATTAAATTACTTGTAAACACCTCATTAGTGTATATCTGGGCGCTTTTTGACCATAATTCGTACGGCGATCGAGCGACAAACAGTTATTTTCACTTCAAATAAAGCAGTCCGCCATCGTGATTTGCAACATTTAGCGGTCAAAATAGTTTTTGCGAATTTTCACGAGAAGAAGAAGGAACCCGGGCTAAAGAAACCCATCACGTTTATTGGTTCACTGTGGACTATCTTTGGACAAAAAATGAGGATGGGTGATTTCTCGAACTTGTGCCGCACTTCACCCACTCCTTGCTGACATCTGCTCTTAACCACATCAAGATAGCTGATGTAATAATACATTATCAATTTATCTCTTCGATCAGTAAAGACTGATTTGCATACAGCACACAAAAGACAAGATAAATCCAGACTATTTCACATAAGTGACCATGATTTAGTCGTAACATTTACGACCAAATGGATACCAGGCTTATTAAGCAAATTCCTTCAAATTTAATTGCAACCCCCTTCATTTTCTTTAAAAAATTTAATAGCCCTCCCTTCTAGTCATTTATTTATACATATGGCCCCCCTTATTTTTTCCCTCCCCCCTTCCATAAATAATGACCGGTCCCTTAAAGGACAGGCAAAGCCTGGTGGTGGTAAAAAATGGTAAAATCGAGTGTTGAACATGATATCTCACGAGTGAGTGCAGCGAACGAGTGAGATATCATGTTCAACACGAGAAATAAATCTGGTATTTCCAAGCACTCATGTATTATTCTGTTTATTATATAAACGACAATCTTTGAAAAGCGATAATTTTTACAGAAAAGCGATAATTGAAAAGCGATAATTTTCACATGTGAGATTATCATGAATAATCTCACATGTGAGATTATCACTTTTATCAGTGCTCGAAATCTCGATAAAGCACTATACTTTATATAATAAATCTCATTAATGAATGCACTTAATGTCATCAGAACCCCCACCCACCCACCCTCCCACAAAAAACATAGGCATAGGTGGTAAGGGGGTGGATAATGGGGCTTTAGACATTTTATTATGCCCCATGGGGTGGAGGCTTAGGCAATTTTCGTCAACCTCAAGTATTGGGATCATGCTATTTTTGCAGATAGGGTTTAACTATTAGCAGTAACTACTGTATTAAGTCGTTAAGATCAGAGGCCCAAAAGTCAACTTGTACTGTAACTCGGTTCCATATGGAGCAGCTAGGACAATAAATATTAGTAACTTTAATTATACATTCTATAACAGTTATTACAAAACCATTTCCTCGCTTTTGGGACTTTCTTTAGCCCAGCACAGTGCAAATGCATCCATTCTAGGCACGAATCACAACTCAACTGATCTCCTTCTAATTCTTTCTTGCAGGTAAAGCAAAACATGATTTGTTTTTTTTAATTCTTTAACAGATTTAAGAACTGCAGACCAACCAGCAGCTGTAAAATATGGTTTAATTCTAGCTATCTCGATGTTTTCATCTAAACATGCAAATGATATATCCTTGTTTGCTTTCAGCTCTTTTTCTGTTATCATTTGCTCTTTACTGATGGCAGATTCAGCAGTATGGTTATCAATAAACCAATGTAGAATTACTAAAAAAGAAATCGATCATGTTGTAATATATTTAACCTATTTACAAATTAAGGTACATTAGACGGGGTAAAATAATAAGGTATGGTACAGTGCATGACTGAATAGAATAGTCTAAACTGGATTAACTGCTTACATCTGGTTTTATCCTCACGACATTTTTTGGCATATGGTGTAGGGAGATTGGCATCTTTGCTCTTCTTTGGGACCCCTATCGCTGTTTGGCCAATGCCTTTTGGTCTTCCTCTGGCTTTCATTTTTGCAGGCATCTTTACATCACAAAGTCCCAACCCTTTTTTCTGCATAAAAATAAATTGACATGCAATGGTATTGTTACAAGATATCTTTGTATAACATCAGAACAAAGGTTATAGAGACACGCAATATATTTTGGAAACATACCCCTGATACTTTAATTTGTGGTGGCTGCTGCTGTGAGACAGGTAGTTGTGATTCTAGTTCTCGTGAAGGTGGATGTTCACATGCTTGCTTGAAGGTGGATGTTCACATCGTAGTTGCATCGTAAATTGTACTCGGATTCAAACGACACAATGTCAATGACTTTATAAATGTAAAAACATATTGTGTATTGGCCTATCGGGTTTACACTTTTACAGGTTCATTTAACTTTAACTCTCTCAAGTCTCAACAGACAATCAGACATGCCAAACCATTGTCATTGATATGACAACTTCAAAAACTTTTTTTTTGCAGCTAGAAATCAGGATTTTTTTCAAATTTTTCCAGGGATACTTTGTTTTCTGCTCTCTAGACTCCCCCTCGCTGCTCTAGTGCTCCACCCCTAGAATATAGACCTTACTGGGGTTTGGTGACACTTTGTGTTGCTTCAGTCACCTGCTCACAGCTCACCCCCTTAAAATTTCTGGCACCACCCCAGTAAAAAATATGACAATCCGTCTATGTTTTTTACACATATACATGTTTCATCGAAAATATGTAGTTAATACCTCCGAGACTTCATCTCCTGTTGACTGTTGTGCTG